CAAAAAAATTGACCAAATAAAACACAAGGCACTATCTACATTCAGAACCAAACTCCTTGCTAACCAACTTTCAACGAAAACAAAACTTCACAAACGATATCCCAGCCTTTATCCTGATAACCTATGTCCAAGATGTGATGTATATCCAGAGAATCTTCCACACATCTTCTCTTGTACTTACATCAAACCTCTACTAAACAAAAAAAAGCTCAAACTCGAAAATCTCATCCTCGACCTTAATCCCAAAAACACCAAAGAAATCAACTTCACCTCAACATTTAAATTAACAAATAGCACTCTATTGGATTTGGCCATCGGCAAATTCAATCACCCATTTAATCTTCTTCACAAAAAAGAACACATTTCCAATTACACTTTGAAAATCTTGCACAAAGCATGGAAATTGAGATCCGCCATAGCAACAACCTCACCGGCCTCTGGAATCAAATGGAAAAAAACAACCAGTATTAGCACAACAAGTACAATCACTAACGATAATTCTAAATTTGACAAAATTCTAAACCTGCTAAATGCCATATTCAATCATACTGACAAGTCAATTTTTACCCCTACAATAATATCATCGTTCTGAAGCGCATTAGCCATTCAGCACTATTGGTGCGAGCACACCTTCGCGGTGATACCTGGTACCAATAGTTTGTTGCGATAGGCTACAATTAATTTACTATGTAAAAATTGTTAATGTAATGACAGTAAATTTTTATTTAAATAAAGTCTCGCATTTAATGCTCATTTGCAATAAAAAAAAAAAAAAGTTTTTATTAAATCAAATTCATAAAGATGAAAATTATTTGATGAAATAAATGGTATATTTGAAATATTAAATGGAATATTAATGAGTGTTATAGCCATATGACAAATTCTATTATTGGAAGTTATAGTAGGAAGTTTTATTTGATGACAATTATGATAATCATCAATATTAAGAATAAAAATATTATTTAATTGATTTTGAAAATATTGATTAATAATATTTTTATGATTTTTTTCTAAATTTATCATATTTGAATATAATTTTGAATAACTTGTTATATATCCAAAATATGATAATATATTAATTGCTCTTGTTGAAAGTCTTGTTTTTAATACAAAACTTCCAATTGAATCTTTTACATTTGTGATTTTTTTATTTTTTAATCCAACCAAATAATAACATAATATCATTGTTTGGATTTTAAGTTTTTCAATTGTTTTGGGTTTTAAATTTTCAGATTTAAATGAATTAAAAAACATTAAATAAAAGAATTTTAAAGTAGGATAATTACTAGATTGTAACATATAAAGAAATTGATCTGGATTTGTATATAATTTTTTTTCATTATATTGTTACTTATATAATAAATCAGTCAAATTAATAATATTGTTATTAAAATATTCAAAAAATGATTCTGTAATTAAATATTGTTGAACATTTTTTAATTTTTGTTCTAAATCAAAATTTTTTTTGAAATGTTCATAATTAATATTATTGATTTTTATATTGTAATCATTTTTTAAACTATTTTTTAAATCAATAATTTTATTATTAAAATTATTTTTTAAATTAATAATTTCAATATTATGATTATTTTTTTAAATTAATAATTTCAGTATTATAATTATTAATTTTTATATCATAATCAAATTTTAAATTATTAATTTATGCATTATGATAATCTTTTAAATTATTTATTTCATTATCATAATTATTTTTCAAATCATTGATTTGTGCATTATAATAATCTTTTAAATTATTTATTTCAGCATTATTATAATTATGTAAATTTTCAATTTTGATATCATAATTATATTTAATGCTTTCTATTTCAGCATTATGAATGTTATTTAAATTTTCAAGATTTTTTTCCAAACATGCAACATCTTGTGCACGTTGAAGTAAAATGTTATATGTTTAGGAATCAATAGAAATATAAGAAATATCAGATTGTAAATCTATTTTTAATAAGTAAAAAAAAAAGGTTTTTAATAAAAAAAATGTGTAATTTTTTTTGTTGACAATATATTTTCAAGTGGATCAGCTTTGCTGACTTTTAAAAAAAGGAAACTTAAGAAAATAAGCAAAATATTATTTTAGGTATATATATATTTTTAAATATATTTTAATTCTAAATTTATTTTTTTGTTTTATTTTCTTTTTTATGTTTTATTTCTTTGTTTATTTCTTTGTTTTTTTTATACATTTATTTCTTTATATTTCTTTATTTCTTTATATTTCTTTGTATTTTTTTATTTCCTTGTATTTCTTTATTTTCTTGTATTTCTTTATTTCTTTATATTTCTTTATTTCTTTATATTTCTTTATTTCTTTTTAATTTTTTAATTTTTTAATTTTTTTTTATTTCTTTATTTTATTCTTTGTTTTTTTTTATTTCTTTATAAAATTTTATTTTATTTTTAATTGAATGCTAAATATAACTTTCTTTTTTATTAAATGCTAAATCGGAAGCTTAATTTTATTTCTTAACATTAAGCTCCGGTTTCTTTATTAAATGCTAAATTGTAACTTTCGATTTTCGATTTTTGCCGAAATAAAAATCGATCGCTTAAATATACGGAAATTTTACTACGAATTTGTCTGCACGAGCGCTGCACATTTGACGCATGGGTGACGCAAGGGTGACGCAAGAATGCCGTAGGGGTATTGCATACATGAGGTAAGGAGAACACCCCCCATGTCATTTATTTCGGGAAAAAAATCTCTGCTCTTTTCACGTATAAAAAATTTTGCCAATATTAAATCAAAAATTTTCCAATAATCAATATTCAATTATATATTTATCTTTGCGTATTTTGGTCCAAATTGAATGAATTTATATGCATTAGCATGTTTTGTAACCATTATTTTATGGAGTTATTAAAAGGAACGCATGATTCGTTCTAGCTATAGTAAAAATGAGACAATGGTAATAAACATTAATTATATTATATACTGTATATTGTGAAAACGTTATTTATAGGTCGCATAGCGTATAGTTTAATCTTCGCATTCACGATTTCTAAAAATCCCGATTCTTAACATTGGCTTAACGCATCGTTGAAATCAAAGATCTGTAAATCAAAAATAAAATATGCCAGGTAGCTAATAAGATATTTTAACGTAGATAATTGCATACATCGTTGACAAATATCTTTGATAAATACTAGATTTTGCCAGTAATGTTGGATGGTTAGAAGATGCAATAAAGGATGGAAATATTAACTCTTTCGATTATAGTCAATTTTCCATTTTAAAGGAAATTGGAAGGGGAGGTTTTGGTGTCGTGAAAAGCGCTCAGTCAGAAATATTAGAAAGAAAGGTTGCGCTAAAAAGTCTGAATACAGATGATATATCAAAAACATTCATGAAAGAGTTTATACGTGAGGTAATTTAAAAACCTGATCATATTTCTCTAGATACTGTATATCAATATTGAAATAAAAGTTCTTTTAGATAAAGTTACTTAAAGATTTACATCATCCAAACATTAATAAACTATATGGTGTGACAAGAGGTTCGTAATGTTAAATGTTTAATTTATATTTATGATACACAATTTTAAATAAAATTATTTCAGATCCATTAAGACAATCGTATATGCTTGTATTGGAATATGCGAATGAAGGAAATCTTCATGAATATTTAGCAACTCATAAAGATCCGCTTAGTTTGGAAAATAAACGACAGATGTCTTTAGATATTGCAGAAGGAATTTGCTACTTACATTCAAGAAACATTATCCATAGAGACCTGGTAGATATCTCATTATTAATTAAAAACAAATTATATTATTATTCATATATTAACCTTGAATTTCTATTTATTTAGCATACTAAGAACATATTGGTACATAATAGCAAAATGATGATAGCAGATTTTAATCTTTCAAAATGTTTAGATGAAAGTACCATGTCAACCGATTCTATTATTAAAGGAGTGGAGGGATATATTGACCCCCAATGTTATTATACGGTTGGGTTCAAAAAAAATAAAAAATCGGATATTTATAGTTATGGTGTTATTTTATATAAGATTTTGATTTGCCAAAAACCGGATTTGCTACATAATCCAATCGAGGATGCTCTGAAAAAACTTATTGAATTACATGAAAGATGCTACAAAAATATCTCCAGACGATCGACCAAATATAGAAGAAATAGTTTCAATTTTAAAAGACTCACATAATAGTGAAAGCAGCGAAATATCATCTAGTCAGAGTCTTGATAGTGCTAATATTTATCCAAAATATTCAGTGCCAAAAACATATATAATCTATGAGGCATTAGATTCTAGACAAGAGGATACACAAATTGGCAAAAGCATATCAACAGAAATGACTCTTCGAAATTTGCGAAGCGAGGCAAAAAAACTATTTAGAACCGGAAACTTTGAAAAATTATTAGAGATTTTGAAAACTATTCTCGATAATCCTTTTCATACGTCAGAAGACCAAGAAAGCGGTTTAAAATGGAATTTTGCAGAAAAATTTATAGATATTTCGGTAGGAAAGGTGCTGGTTAACGTATTATGTAAGGATACCATCCTGACTGAACTGAATTTGTGTAATAGTAAAATAACAGAAACGACTGGAAGAGCACTGGTCAAAGCATTAAGTAAAAATACTACCCTGATCAATTTAAATATAGCCGGGAACAGAATAGGTGAATCAATAGGAAAAGCACTAGCCGAAATGCTAAAAAAGAATTCTAATCTCGCTAATTTAAATATAAGTAGGAATGAAATAGGAACATTCGCAGGAAAAGCACTGTTTGAGGCATTAGTCAAGAACACAACCCTAACCAATTTAAATATAGCCTATAATGGAATAGGAAAACTAGCAGGAAAAGCAGTGACCGAGGTACTAAGCAAGAATATCACCTTAATCAATTTAAATATAGCTGGAAACCGATTAGGGGAATCAACAGGAAAAGCACTGGCCGAGGCACTAAGCAAGAATATCACTCTGAAAGAACTAAATGTTAGTCGTAATTTCTCGGTGAATCGGCAGGAAAAGCACTAGCCGAGGCACTAAGCAAGAATGACACTCTGAAAGAACTAAATGTTAGTCGTAATTTTCTCGGTGAATCGGCAGGAAAAGCAATAGCTAAGGCACTGTGCAAAAATATTTCCCTGACCTATTTAAATGTAGCTGGGAACGGAATAGGAAAATTCGCTGGTTGAGGCATTAATCAAGAATATAACCCTAACCAATTTAAATATAGCCAATAATGGAATAGGGAAATTAGGAGGAGAGGCAGTGGCCGAGGTACTAAGCAAGAATACCACCTTGACCAATTTGAATATAGCCGAAAACGGAATAACTGAATCGACAGAAGCACTGGCCGAGGCACTAAGCAAGAATACCACCCTCAAAGAACTAAACGTCAGTCGCAATTATCTCGGAGAGTCGGAAGGAAAAGCAATAGCCGAGGCAGTAAGCAAGAACACTGCCCTGACCAATTTAAATGTAGCTGAGAACAAAATAGGTGAGTCTGGAAAATTACTGGTTGAAGCACTAAACAAAAATACAACTTTGAGAAAATTTGATCTAAGTGAGAACGGAATAGGAAAGGTGGCAGGAGAATCATTGGCAAAAACATTAAGAAAGAACACTACCTTGACTAATTTAAATATAGCCGACAACGGAATAACTGAACCAGAAGGGGAAGCGATCGCCAAGGCACTAATCAAGAATACCACTTTGACCAATTTAACCCTAAATAATAAAAATAATAATAGCATAGGAGAATCGGCAGGAAAAGTAATGACCGAGGCACTAGGCATGAATACTACCCTGACGGAATTAAATTTAAGAAATAATAATATAGGAGAATTGGCAGGAAAAGCAATGGCCGAGGCACTGAACATAAATAATGCTCTGAAAAAATTTGATTTAAGATATAATGATATAGGAATGTCGACAGTAAAAGCACTGGCAGAAGCACTAAACAAGAACGTCACGCTGAAAAATTTAAACATAGCTGGGAACAGAATCGGAGAAGTTGCAGGGATGGTAATGGCGGAAGCACTAAGCTGGAACTCTACCCTGACTAATTTAGATATAAGTGAGAATGGAATAGGAAAATTGTCAGGAAACGCATTGGCCGAGGTACTAAGCGATAATACCACCCTGACGAATTTAAATTTGAGTTGTAGCAGTATAGGCGAATCGGTAAGAAAAGCACTTTCTGAGGGACAACAAAATAATATCTTTTTAAGTGTTAGATTCTAAATTAAACAATAATTTAAATCAAAAACATCTTTCTGTTATATATATATATGTGTTATTAAGATGAGAAAACATTAAATAAATGCGAAGCAATAGATACATAGGTTTCTATAATGAACTTAAGGTTAAGATTAATGAATTAATATTCAAAGACCAACTTTGTGTATTGAGTAAAAACTCTTCAACAGTATTGATATTGTTTAATGCAAGTAGAAATATACAATTTATAATACTTTGATTATTAAATTGATATTTAATATTTGTTGGCCCTAAGTTATAGATACAGTGTTTTATCTAATAGATTAAAATAATTGATTGATATATCTGTCTATTCTATGAATTAATAGTTCAGTTAAGGACAATTAATAATGGAACGCGTTTTCCGTTATGCGATCTATCGTCGTGCGTGAGAAATTAACTTGTTGATGTCAAATGAATGATAAAAGAGTGAAAGCATTTTGAAGATTATGTATCGCCCTGTAAGTAATATTGTTCTTTTGTCTTCATTTTCTTATATTGCTTATAATTCCTTTAGCAGAATATATATATAAATGAAAGCAGAATTTGAGAAATATAATTAGACTTCAGTCAAATTAAAATAACACACTTTACTTTTAAGACCCATCATTGTTATGCGATTCTTTGTGCGTCTTAGCAATAGGCTTGTCAATCGCCATTACAATAGTCAATAATAAATATCCTTCTACAGATTATGGAAATAGATTTAAAAGGAAAGAAAACAACAACTTCATTAAGGATATTAATATGCAATAAATGAAGTTTGTTGCAAAATTAATAACACAAAATAGAATATATTGTATTTAACAAACCTAATTTCGAGTACTTTTAGTTAAAGGGATAGTGGAAACCACCAAAGGGTGCATGCAAAGTTTACAAAAAGGGATACCTCGAAATACATATACAGCATATATTGTATACGGTATATATTAGAAGAGAAATTTGGCCAAGTTAAATATCATGCCTTCAAAAAAAAATCTATTTACCTTGAGTTATGCTTAATAAACAAACATACTTGTTGCCAATTATTCCAACAATACATTAATAAAAATTTCAAATAAAATTTTTTAGATCTAGTTAATATATCCGCATGTAAATTTTTAAAAGTACAATTCGATTCATAATAATTAAATATTTTTTTCAATAAAATTTTGCTATATTGATTTTATTTATTCAATTTATAAAAATTAAATTTGTTGTATCTAAAACATAGGTTTTACTTTAAGATCATCAAATTAGAAAAAATTATTTTTATACTTATAATTTTGTAACACAATATTGAAAGTTTGATTTTATAAGTTTTAAATATAGAATTACAAATAATATAAAATAATCTTTTTGTTTTTTTATTAACTTTTTAGCTTTAGTTTATCTAAATTATAAAGAAAAACCAATATACTGTATATTCTGAAGGTAAGTGAGTCTGTTGCTATTATTGATTGTATAATATTGAATAAAGATATATAGGTATAAGTGAAAGTATTAGATATTGAGCTGAGTTTGTTTAAAAAGGTCTTTATTATTGTATATCTTTTTTTAATACATTTTTATCTCTTTTATTTATCAAAAAAATCCCAAAAATTCCAAAAATCTTTAAGCTCTATTTAAATTCTAATTTAATAAAAATGTTATATAACTATATTACTAAAAATTTTTTAATCTTTTTATAATACAGTTCTTTTCTATAAATAAAAAACTATTTAAAATAGTACAAAATACCTACACATTCAAATCTTATAACAAACTTTCCTGGGAAAAATTATATACACACTAGAGATTTATCCCCTTGGCCCTATATTTTTAAGGTTCAAAAATATACTTCAATCAAGTAACACAATAATCGGAAATATCTTGCCTGTACCTAATCACAAACCTCAATTCTGGGCATATTTAGATAATTTAAACAATATCAATCTTATTAAGACTAGACTCAATGCAATTTCTCAACAAACAATTATAGGCTCACACTTCTTGATCACAAACTCAAAACAACTCAATAGATATGATTGCACTAGTCAATATTGCACCAAAACAAATAATATTGACCAACTCAAATCTATTTGATCAACAAAAAGAAACAATAATTTTTTTATTTTTAATAATCTACAAGAGCTAACAGATAGCCCAACTTCTACTATCAATTAAGCAGCAGTTATACCAATACCCTTACAATTACATGCTTTATAATTCATTAACTATAATATATACTTCACAAATGAAAACTATATCACCATTTGTAACCCTTTAAAAACCACTACTTACAAACTCAATATCA